CTCGAGAACGAGTTTTAAGAGATGGTCGAAATTGAGATTCGACCAAGGAGAACCGAGGAGGAAATTGACGATGAGAAGCGTGAACGCTTCAGAGATGAGAAATTCGACGAGGTCGAGCGCGAAGGCGGTCGACGATGAGAGGCGCGACTGCAGAGTGGAGCACGTCAAAATTCCGACGACTCGAAACGAATGTCGCAACGATGAAGTGCGCGTAGCGCGGGCACGTTAAGATTAGGACCTTGATCCGCGTGTGCGGATAGGTCGCTCTGATACCATATAAGAAATAGAGTTAAAATAATTGATTAGGTAAGGAGCCCAAGGCTCTATAAGTACATGGCAAGGTGAGAGAGAATGGATGAAGGGGGAATTGGAGGGAATCCCCATTGGGATCTCCGGAATCTCCAATTGGGTAATTGGAGATTGGGGGGATCACAATTGGGTGAGGTTGGGATTTGTGAGTACACCCCAACCCACTAGAACATTCACAACCTAAACTAGGATATAAAAGTACAAATACAAAAGTGGTATTTGCAGTATATTTCTTACAGAGTGGTCATCGACTATTGTAAGAAAGTACCGATGACCGCCTCGGGATGGGACTGGAGCTGGGCTCCAGACATCCATGTGCACTAGGTCCAGCGGAGCAGGTGCGACGGATGGAGAGGAAGGGTGCGGCTGCTGCCTGAGCTTGTTCTTGGTGCAGTCCAGGCAGGTGGGTGCTGGTGAGTCTGTTGGTGGAGGAAGCGCCGACGGGAGGCCAAGAAGAAGTTTCTTGGAAGCGATGTCCGCAAGTGTACGGAAGTTGGGGTGACCTAAGCGATGGTGGTAGAGGATGGTTGGGTTGGCGAAGCTGCGACACGAACACGGAGTGGTGCTGGCAGCTTGCGCTTGGGAGAGGGCGGCGAGAGGTGCAGGTGAACGCAGCGTGTAGAGCTTGCTACTGTTGAGTGTGAAGCGTGCTAGGAGCTTGTTGGACTTAGGGTCGAAGAGGTCACAGTGATCCGAGTGTGCTGGGAAGATCGTGGTGAGGCCTGCCCGTTGGAGCTCGTGTTGGGCCATGAGATTGTGGCGTAGTGTGGGAACACACATGCCAGTCACACTGCCCGAAGGAAAAGCTGGGCACGGAACTGTGGAGGAGCCCTTGGCGTGTGTTGTGAAACTGGAGTCTGCTCCAAGTAGACGGATTGGTGTCTCGTATGGCTTGAAGGAGTGTTCTTCCTTGAGAACCGTGTGAGTGGCCCCACTGTCGAGGGTGAACTCTATTGTAGCTGAGGTGCTTTGTGAGCCAGGATACTGCGAAATCGTCTCATTAATCATGGCAGTGCCAGAGAACAACATGTTGAGGCGCACATCAGCAGGTGCAGCCACAGCAGCCTGCACGAATTCCTGCGCTTCGACTTGATTGACTTGGCGAGGAGCACGATTGACCATCCAGCTTGGCGGCTTGGAGGCGGTCCCATTGACGGAATACCACTCGTCATCCTTCTTCTTAAAGCAGGAGGCAAGGGCGTGGTTGGTGCCGCCACACACCAGGCCAGCACGAGGGCCACGGTTGATGATGTAGGGACACGGGGGGAAGCGGTTGCGCTGGAATGGTGCCGAAGCGGCATAGGCTTGAGGCACGGGAGCGCGGATTGCATTGGCCTTGGCTTGAGCGCTGTTGTCCTTTTCGGCAGAAAGGAGCGCGGATGAGACCTTGGCAAATGTGAGGTCTGCAGGAGCAAGGCCCAAGAGCATCTTGCGTGTGACTTCGTATGCCTGAGTGAGGCCAACTAGGAGAGCGGCTGCAGGGGCTTGCTCGGGGAAGACTATCCCCAATTGTTTGAGTTCGCTATGAATGGACTGCACCTTGATGACATAGTCCGCCATGCCTGGCGAGTCCTTGAGCCGCACTTGGAACATGCTGGGGATGAGTATAGCAACTCCCACTGCAGTCTTGTTCAGGAAGCGGTCTTCGAGGTAGAGCCAAATGGCGTTGGCAGACGGGTAGTTGTGGTAGGTTTCAACGAGTTCGGGAGGAGTGGTGCCCATGAAGACACTAATGACCGCACCATCGGCCTTCTCCCAATTCTTGTACGTGAGCAGTGTAGCAGCATAAACTGCTTTGGCGGCGGCATTAGCTGGATCGGCGGACCTCTCGGGTTTAGGAGGCTCTTTGCCGTCACCGATGTTGAGAAGGACGTCGGTGAGCTCGAGCCCCTTCACCTCGCGACTGAGGAGGTGCTTGTCGACACCATAGCGCCAAGCCTTGTAGTTGGAGTATGTACCGTCCAGCTCGAGACGAAGGAGCGGGATCGGGTTGGCGAGTGAAGTGGTTGAGTAAGCCATTGTCGGTGGCAGCGCGGCACTTCTGGAAATTGGTCGACGAGAATTGCTGAAAATCACTCTGACGGCTTTATCAAAATGCCGCTAAGTAGGAAATGGCGTCGGCAAAAATTCGTTAAAACGCCGACTTGAAACTGAATCTGAGCCTATGTCTAACCCCGGACCCACACACCGCCCCACACACCCCCAGGCCCTGTCCCGCAGCTATACAGCTCCGCAACTAGCTCCGCAACCAGCTCCGCAACCAGCTCCGCAACCAGCTCCGCAACCAGCTCCGCAACCAGCTCCGCTCCGCTTCAACCTGTGTACCTGCTCTTGCTTGACGCGAGACGTTCGTGGAGGCGATTTCGCGAGGGGAGTTCGCCTATTGTGGCGGGGTCTGAGGGGAAACTCGAGAACGAGTTTTAAGAGATGGTCGAAATAGAGATTCGACCAAAGAAAACCGAGGAGGAAATCAACGATGAGAAGCGTGAAAGCTTCAAAGATGAGAAATTCGACGAGGTCAAGCGCGAAGGCGGTCGACGATGATGTTGATAGGATTGGCCTACTTTGCACGAATTAAGCAGAGCCTCAACTCAACCAAACGCCAATCTGCTCGGTGGAAGGACGCGCCTATAAGTCTAGAGTCATCTGAAATTTAAATCAGGTGAAAAGATTAACTCTAGAGTGAGAACTGAATCAAAACGTAACTGCTGGTCGTTGCCTTGGAAAGTAGATAGAACTTGCAAGACACACAACCATTTAGACATGGTTCGGGGTTCAGACCTCTAAGAGAGCCTTGGAAGGGAAACAAGGTTTCCTGATGTCTAGGATGTTAGGATTAAGGACAGAGTCTAGGTGAACTTAGGAGCTAGAATTACTCAAAATATAAATCCGAAATTCTGGACAGAAAAGTCGTCTTCACAAGAAACGACGTCGACAAAACACTAGCCGTTGGAATGTCGCGAAACTTGGATATGTTGTAGCTCTTGATCTCAGCTACCGTTCCCAATTTGAATCACGTTGATTGATGAAGTATTCGCGACGCTATGGCTTTCGACGTCGTTTCTTGTGAAGACGACTTTTCTGTCCAGAATTTCGGATTTATATTTTGAGTAATTCTAGCTCCTAAGTTCACCTAGACTCTGTCCTTAATCCTAACAAGTGGTATCAGAGCGATATTAAGGACATTGAGAGGAGTCTACAGAAGTGTGAAGACCCTTCTAGACCCACCATGGCCTGTGGGTGTGCCTAAGTGGTGTTCTAAAGGTTGGATGTGTCTTCCGCTAAGGGGAAACTCTGCCGAAATTTCGTGGACGCCGACACTTGTGAAAATATCGAGGGAGCTGAGTGTGGACAGCAAAGGGGAGCTGAAATTCGTCATTTCTCAAGGAGAAGATGAATGAGAGAGGAGGAGATGCTAATGGAAGAGGAGCTGTAGCTGAGAAGACAAGTGAGCCGCCGCCATCAAAAGTTGAAGCTTTGGATGGCTCCAACTATGAGGAATGGAGCGGACGGATGAGGAGTGCCTTCAAACGCTACAAGCTCCTGAAGATTGCTGTTGGGGAAGAGAAGATGCCGGAAGAAGGCGAAGCACGTGAACGGTGGATTGAGAAAAGCGCGGTGCTTTTCGACCTCATTCTTCAATCGGTCAACAAGGAGATGTTCGAGCACATCAAGGATCTTGTGGAAGCGGATGATTCGGGTCCAAGGGCGTGGAAACTACTACGTGATGTGGTTCAGCCCAACACTCTCCTGATGGTGATCGTGCTCGAGAAGGAACTTGCTGCCATCTCCATGCAACCAGGGGACGATGTGAAGCCGGTCCTTGACAAGATCAAGGACACCTATGCAAGGATGGCAGCAGCGGGCAGCAGTGTATCTCAGCTGCAGCAGTGCACCAAGATCATCTCGGTGTTGGACAACTCTTGGGACAACCTCATCCCCACCCTCAACTCTCAGCAAGATCAATGGACACCTGAGTGGCTAAGGCAGCAGATTCTGCAGGAGGACTTCCGCAGACGCCATGTGGGAGGCGGTGCTGCCACTAAGACTGCTGAGGGGTATGGAGCTGCAGGGCGCAGCAGAGGAAGAGGGGGTTGGAAAGGCCGAGGCCGTGGGAGGAGCTTTGGCAGAGGTAGAGGCCGAGGTGACTATAATGAGGGGCATGGGAGCTCTAGTGGCAGGGGGAGTACCAGAATGGAGGGCACGTGCTGGTACTGCAAGAAGGTTGGGCATCCTTGGTTCAAGTGCTTCAGCAGGCTGGAGGGATGGGCACCTCCAGGCATGAAGCCGCCCAGTGGTGAACGCGCACAAGGTGGCGCTGTGCAAGGCTCAGGTGCACAAGGTGAAGGTGCACAAGGTAATGCCTATCCTGGTTTGTTTGTTATGGTTGAGGATGTGCATGGGCATGAGGGTGATGTGGGATCTGTGGGAAAGGTTGTGATGCACCCTCTCACGCACTGGGTGATTGATTCGGGTTGCACCAGTCACATGACTCCACGGGCAGATTTGCCTTGGAAAGTAGATAGAACTTGCAAGACACACAACCATTTAGACATGGTTCGGGGTTCAGACCTCTAAGAGAGCCTTGGAAGGGAAACAAGGTTTCCTGATGTCTAGGAATGGTTTAGAACCTTCCTAGAAGCACACCATAGGCCCCTCTCCAAGTTGCCCATATGAGGACACATGCCAAATCCAAAGAGATTGGATTTGGCAAGATGTTGCAACATTTGCAACACTTGCATATTTTGGCTTGTAGCAACCAAGCCACCCCAACCAAAAGTCAAAGTTTTCTCCCCAACCATCTAACCACAAGATCCCCATTATAAGACCCATGAGACACCCGAGGTATAGCATTTGTCATTAGAACTTCCAATCTTGGAATTCTTGTAACTTCGGCATCATCGGTCGGATTGGGGTGATCTTGGGGTCGTTGGAATGCTCACGCTTTCTCCTGCATTTTCCATGCATTCAACCTTGGGAGAAAATCAGGATGATGAGAATATCGAAGATGGCGAGCAATGTGATATATGCTCATGCACACATGCATGCACGAATAGGATGATCATACGGCAGGACATTAGGATGATATGCACTCATGCTGATGTGCAATTAACAAACTCCCCCTCAGACTAATGGAATGCACACACATGCATGTGGAAATGATCTTTCATCCAACCAGGCCCATGCCATCACATTCATACATTGGAACATCTAGTGCAATGCCATTCCACACATCTTAGCACATTTCCAGTGTGCATCTTCAGGAAGACGCTTCGTTAGGAAATCAGCCGCCTGCTTGCTTGCCTTCACATGGTGAAGTTCCACAACCCCTTCCTTCACCATCTGCCACACCCAGTGCCACTTGATTTTCATGTGCTTATTGAGGCCATTCAGGATCGGATTAGTGGCCATCCCAATAGCACCCTTGCTGTTTGTGAATAGTGGCGTAGGGCCATCCTGCTTCTCGCCAATATCTTCCAACAGCTTCCGCAGGGACACGATCTCCTTAATTCCATGGTACAAAGCCATATATTCCGCCTTTGCTGAAGACTGAGCGATCTCACTTTGTTTCTTTGACCTCCAGCTTACTGGACCTCCTCCAATCATGCAAACAAAGCCTCCAATGGATGAGCAGTCTTCATCCTCGGAGGCCCATGTTGCATCGGTAAAGCATGTAAGCTTCAAAGATCCAGGCTTCACCCCTTCAGCTTCAGGTTGCTTCAGTTGTCCAGCCATAGAAAACTGAACTCCAGCAGATGTTGTAGATCCAAGGTAGCGTACCATTCTCCTTGCAACCTCCAAGTGTTCAGCAGTGGGTTGTTGCACAACCCTCGCAAGCTGACCCACTCCAAAAGAAGCATCGAGTCTTGTCTGCACTGCTGCATACATGACACTCCCGATCAGAGAATGGTACTCCTTCATCTCCTCCTCCTCAAGTACCACATCGTCTTCAGTGGCCTTCCTCAGCTTGAAGTCTGCAGGGAGAGGTGTCCTCACAGTACGACCCTCAAGAATGCCATACCGCTGCACCACTCCAGAGATGTACTTGTGCTGGTGCATCTTCAGCCACCTCTTTTCCACATCCCTCTCAATCTGCAGCCCCAAGTAGTAATGCACATCCCCAAGCATCTTGCACTTGAAGCTGTCCATCAACAGCTTTTGGGTCCTCTCAATCTGCTCCATGGATGGGGAGAACAGCAAGATGTCATCTACATAGATAAGCAAGCACAACTGCTGCTCCCCCTCACCAAGCAGAAACAAGCTGTGGTCAGCTTGAGAGGTGTTGAAGCCTCCAGCAAGGAGCACTTCCGCTAGCTTCTCATACCAGCACCTTGGAGCTTGCTTAAGTCCATAGATTGCCTTCTTAAGCTTGCACACTCTGCCAGTCCCATCTTCATATCCAACTGGCTGCTCCATATATATGTCTTCCACCACCACCCCATTCAGGAATGCAGTGATGATATCCATCTGCTTCACACTCCAACCTTTCACAGCAGCAATGGCCAGCAAGGTCTTCAAGGTTCCTGTTTTAGCAACAGGTGCAAACACTTCCTTGTAATCCTCCTTCTCCTTCTGCTCAAACCCTTTGGCAACCAAACGGCTCTTGTACCGCTCCACTTCACCATCAGCTCCGGTCTTAGTCCTAAAGACCCACTTATTGCCGATGGCTCGTCGCCCCTTTGGTAGATTCACAAGATCCCATGTCTCATTCTCAATGAGACTGTTGAACTCCTCATCAGTTGAAGGCTTCCATTTTGCCTTCAGAGGGCCAGTCCATGCCTCATGTAGTGTGGCTGGATCACTAGGTAGAGTGGTGAAGAAGCAGAAAGCACTCTCCTCATCATCACTCTCATCCGCCTGAACCGCCATCGCACCTTGCTTAGGTCCTCCCAAGCGGCTATACCCTAGCCTTGAAGGTGGCGCTGCTGCCCTCTTCTCACGAGTTGTACTCTGCTGCATTTGCGTTGACGCGCCTCGCTGTGCACTCCTCTTAATGACCCTAGCTGGTGGAGAAGTCATAGGCACTGATGGTGAGTCCACACGCGTTGACTCATCCTCGAGCCCCTCCTCAGGCTCATCTCCAACAGTGGGCTGCTCGACACCACCACTGTGGTCACTGGTCAGCTCTGACCCAGGGCGATCATCAAGGTGCGGCTGAACCTCCTCCACAGCTGACCTCTGGAGCTCTTGCAGCCGCAGTCCAATCTGAACTTGCTGTTGCTGCTGCCAGTCGTTGTACATCACATTTTCCACAAACTTGACGTCGCGGCTCACAATGGTCTTCTTACTCCTCGGGTCCCACATCAGCCACCCTTTGGAGTCGGGGGCCATCCCAAGATGGACGGCCCACACTGCAGCAACCTCAAGCTTGTGCCTTTGCTCCTTTGGCACCATCACAAGCCCCATGCAGCCCCACACCCGCAGCATATCTACAAGCGGCTTCTTCCCAAGCCAACGCTCATAGGGCACCCAATGCTGCTCGCCAACATACATCAAGACTCTGTTTTTGACAGTCACCACTTGGCGAACAGCTTCAGGCCAGAACTTGTAGGGAAGTCCAGCATCCCTCAACAATGCCTTGGCCGCCTCACCAATGGTTCTGTTGGCTCGTTCAGCAATGCCATTTTGCTGTGGTGTTCCAGGGCAGGTCAGTTGGTGTCGAATGCCGTTCTTCTTGAGCCAAGCATTGAAATCTGCTCCTAGGAACTCGCCACCACGATCACTCCTCAGCACCTTCACCAACCGTTGAGACTGCCTTTCAACCATTGGCAACCAATCCTCCTTGATTGCCGCTGCCGCATCACTCTTCTTTGACAAAGGTCGCACCCATGTAAATCTGCTCCAGTCATCCACCAGAGTTAGGAAATACAAGGCTCCACCAATGCCCTCAGTCCGCATCGGACCCACCAGATCCATATGCACCACTTCCAATGGTGCCTTGGCAGAACCATCCACTCTATGAAAGGGAAAACGTGCAAATTTACTTTGCATGCACACCTCGCAGTCACGAGAATCAGCATTGCCTCCATGCAGACGAAGCCCTTGCACACTCTGCTCTCTCGCCATCACCTCCAATGTAGAAACAGCCACATGTGCAAGACGTCTATGCCATGTCTCCCAAGAGGCTTGTCCAGAGGTTGCCGATGCCTTGACAGCCGCACTTGCTCCAGCCGCCGCAATCAGCCCCTCATCACACTCCTCATGATCTTCATCATCCATGGCTCCTTCAACTGCTGCTGCTGCTGCTGGCTCATTCCCTTTAGGCCATGGGAGCACGGGAATCTGCCACATGCGCCGGTGGACTCCCCCATTATGCTGCAGGTCCCAAATGAGTCGGCTCTCCTTATAAGCACGATAGCGCTCTGAGCCGATGGTTTCAGTGTTCACGCCCGCATCTCCCAAACGGCCGGTGGAAATCAGATTCGCGCACAAATCTGGTACCCAAAGCACCTCCTTCAAGCCCACCAACTCACCATCCGCACCCACAAACATGGCACGCCCCATGCCCATCACTTTAGCCTTGGCTCCTGTAGCGGATGTGACAGTAGCGATTGGTGCTGGCTGAATCTCATCAAGCAGGTCCACACGAGGAGTCATGTGCCAGGAGCTTCCAGAATCAATGACCCAATGAGATAGTGGATGTAGAAGAACCTTGGCAGCCATTGCTGGATCCGCAGCACCCTCGTTCACAAAGAAGAAGAAACCGGGCCGCCGCTCACCCACTTTGCCGCCTTTCTCCTCCTCGTCCTCCTCTCCACCAGCTCCCATAACTCCCCCACTCCGTTTGCCTCCTTGCTGATTGGTCCATGAAGGTGGGGTCCAGTCCTTAGGCCGTTGATAGCACTTTCTCCAGCGATGACCGCGCTTCTTGCAATAGAAGCATACATCTCCTTGGCTCCTGTCTTGACCTCCAGTACTCTCCTCCTGAGAGTTGTCATTCTTCTTGCCCTTCCACTTCTTCTTAAAGCCACTCCTCCCTCCTCCAACTCCATAACCAGCAGCATCCCCCGAGCGATCCACACTCTGTCGCCGTAGATCTTCCTCCAAGATCCGTGCGCGAATGTACTCCAAGCTCCACTGGGATTGCTGAGAGTTGAGGTTGATAGCAAGAGCAGACCAAGACTCCGGCAATCTGATGACAATCTCCACACACTGCACGAGCTCAGGGTAGACCAATCCTCCTGCTTGCAATTTGGAGAAGATATCCCGCATCTCATCCAAAACCGGTTGCATTGGCTCTCCATCCACGAATTTGATGTCGCGCAATCGACGCGCCAATAGCACAATGCCGGTCACGTGAGTTGGTGAGTGGATATCTTGCAGCTTCTTCCATGCCTTTGGTCCACACTCGGGATCTCCAAGCAGCTCCTTGATGTGATCCAACTGGCGCCCTCCAACCGCTTGCACCAAGAGCATGTACGTATCGAACGAGCGTTTTATCCATGAGCCACGGTCATCCGCGTTCTCCGGTACCTTCTCTCTTCCCTCCACGAGCTCTAGCAGATGATAATGCGTAAACATGAGACGCATTCGAAAGCTCCAGTGCTCAAATCCCTCCCCTATGAACTTCTCAATTGAGAAAGCCTTCATAGGATCCACGGTAGGGTTGGATGGTGGAGATGGAGTAGATAACGTGGGTAGTGAAGGCTGTTGGGCTTCTCCCCTCGGTTGTGAAGCTCCAGCACCATCACCAGCAGCTCCCCCTTGCTCCCTATCTCTAACTCCACGTGCCATCTCGCCCTCAGCACCTACAGAGCCTCTATTCGGCATCTGCTAGCTCTAGAAATGAAGAAATCGTAACAAACCGAATCTGGCAGAATTCTGGCAGAATGTTCAGCTTTACAAGAAACGCCGCCACGAACACACGCCTTTGCATAAAGACCTAAAAATAGGCTCGTTGGAAAGCTCGCAACCTGGGCTACTCGAAACAGGTCTTACTCGTAGACATTGGTTGAGAAATGACCATGATTCGTCATCGCAAAGATAGGTACTGGCTCTGATACCACTTGTTGATAGGATTGGCCTACTTTGCACGAATTAAGCAGAGCCTCAACTCAACCAAACGCCAATCTGCTCTGTGGAAGGACGCGCCTATAAGTCTAGAGTCATCTGAAATTTAAATCAGGTGAAAAGATTAACTCTAGAGTGAGAACTGAATCAAAACGTAACTGCTGGTCGTTGCCTTGGAAAGTAGATAGAACTTGCAAGACACACAACCATTTAGACATGGTTCGGGGTTCAGACCTCTAAGAGAGCCCTGGAAGGGAAACAAGGTTTCCTGATGTCTAGGAATGGTTTAGAACCTTCCTAGAAGCACACCATAGGCCGCTCTCCAAGTTGCCCATGTGAGGACACATGCCAAATCCAAAGAGATTGGATTTGGCAAGATGTTGCAACATTTGCAACACTTGCATATTTTGGCTTGTAGCAACCAAGCCACCCCAACCAAAAGTCAAAGTTTTCTCCCCAACCATCTAACCACAAGATCCCCATTATAAGACCCATGAGACACCCGAGGTATAGCATTTGTCATTAGAACTTCCAATCTTGGAATTCTTGTAACTTCGGCATCATCGGTCGGATTGGGGTGATCTTGGGGTCGTTGGAATGCTCACGCTTTCTCCTGCATTTTCCATGCATTCAATCTTGGGAGAAAATCAGGATGATGAGAATATCGAAGATGGCGAGCAATGTGATATATGCTCATGCACACATGCATGCACGAATGAGATGATCATACGGCAGGACATTAGGATGATATGCACTCATGCTGATGTGCAATTAACAGATGAGAGGCGCGACTGCAGAGTGGAGCACGTCGAAATTCCGACGACTCGTTACAAATGTGGCGACGATGAAGTGCGCGTAGCGCGGGCACGTTGAGATTAGGACCTTGATCCGCGTGTGCGGATAGGTCGCTCTTATACCATGTAAGAAATAGAGTTGAAATGATTGATTAGGAAAGGAGCCCAAGGCTCTATAAGTACATGGCAAGGTGAGAGTGTATGGAAGAAGGGGGAATTGGAGGGAATCCCCATTGGGATCTCCTGAATCTCCAATTGGGTAATTGGAGATTGGGGGGATCACAATTGGGTGAGGTTGGGATTTGTGAGTACACCCCAACCCACCAGAACATTCATAACCTAAACTAGGATATAAAAGTACAAATACAAAAGTGGTATTTGCAGTCTATTTCTAACATTAGGCGAAGGTGCCACAGAAGTGACGGTTGAGTGGGTGACTGATACGAACAAGCCGCAGCGACCTGGGTAGACCCAGCCATCTGAGGGAAAGCATCCACTTGGGGGGATGCGGTGTCCAGAGTGAACAGGCCAGGCATTGGGTCCCGGGGGAACGTGGTGAGGGGGGCATCAGTGGCGGCCTTAGTACAGAGTGTGTACTGGTTGTATTCAAGAAACGTGGTGGTGACGCCGAGGTCCTGAACATAGCTGACACCAACCTGATTCCAACAGAACGAGGGGATGTGCAGACTTATAAGAGAGCCTGAGGGAACCGTCAAACAGGGAAGTGTGGTGGAGCTACGTGCAACTACCGTACCGGAGGAGGGGTCAGCAAGGGAGGCTGCTGCTCTTGCTGAAAGTGGCATGAGGGTGGTGTGGTCGCGAAAGAAGCGGGCGGAGGCACCAGAGTCCAGCGTGAAGGAGAGCACGGCAGTAATGTCAGCCGGTGGGGGTACTAGCGTGGAGCCAAGGCTAAACAAGTCAGGGGGTCCTACGCCTGACACAGTAGGGGAGCCTAGACTACACACAGCACGCACACCTAGGTTAGGCAATATAGGGTAATAGGGTCCAATAACACTAGAGTCACCAGCATACATGGCATACAAAGCAGAGCGAACGGCAAGGCATACAGCGGATCTGATCTTTATCTATCGCAAAGACCACCACACAACGATGTACCAGGCCGTGCCAGTTTAAGGGGGCCGGCGCATGCCCGAAGCGGAGATGGAAAAGGTCGTCGAGACGGCGCTAGCAGCGGACGGCGGTGTGACCGAGACGGTCACACACGGCACCACAAAGTGGACCACTTTGGATCTGGTACTGGCATTTCCCCAAACTGAAGCTGCCACCGGACGTTGAGCTGCAAGGGCCGCCTCCGCGACCACCACCATCGAAGCCGCCTGGACACCACGATGGCAGAGGCCCCTACTACTGCTGCTGCTGCCGCTGCGGCTCCTTCGGCTACTGCTGCTCCTACTGGTGCTCCTCCTGGTGCTTTGGGGCGTGTGCCCCCACCCCTTCGTCTGCACTTCCAGTGCTCCCACCACCTCCACCTTCCCCGCCTCCCCGCCACCCCCGCCACCCCCAGCACCCTTCCCTCCCTTACGCCCCCCTCTGGGATGACGCAGGGGCTCCACCCTTGCAAGGCTGCACCGAGGCCGCCGCAGTGGTCTCAGCGATAGGGACTGTCTCAGCGACAGCAGCGAAATCGTCAGAGTAAGTGCTGTTGGTGCAACCCTATGGCTTGCACTCGGCTTGTCGTCCTTGTTTGTGTGTGTGCATGCATGGCATGGAATGAATTGTGAGTCTATGTCATTGCTATCTAGTGCTTGTGTGTGTGTTTGAATGGTGTATCACAATGTGGTTTGTGTCGGTCAAGACATTAGCGAGTTTTTACAACTCGCATGTCAAGTCGTCGTTTTTGTCGAGTGTGAAGTGTCCATCGCGTCGCAGGTGTGTACAACAAGCCCCTATCAACTCAAGAAGAATTTATCTTGCAGAACCAAGACCAAGAGCTCAAGATTTCAAGCCCAAGGGACACGGATAAATATTAAATAGTGAAAATAGTAACGCTACTTCGTGTAGTGTTACATTTCACTTGGTGTAGCCCCTTGGAGGGTTTGTTTCGAGACTCTTCATGGTTGGGGACTCTGTGGTGGTGTACCACCAACCAGGATCTCAGCTCTTGGGGTATGTAGAGGCTCGGAACCATCTCCATCTCCAACTCTTCTTGCTAAGTTTGTACTCCTAAGACTTTAGTGGCTGCTGTACCTCTTGTCAGTCAAACCGCCATAGCGCCGTCAAATCTTCATGGAATTTTATGATTCAACTTGCTGCTGATAGGCGACAGCAAAGCGCTCCAGATTCAATTTAAAGATCACCGTTTGAGGCACAGATCAGTTTGGCATCATTATTTGAAGCTGTCTGACGGAATTCTGACTGTGCACAATTTCTCTCATTTTAGGCACATCTGAGCCTATTGTGATTATAACAAGTGCACTGGGAAGGAACACAGCCCTATAAGATAGGGAATGCTGCATTACCGCTAAACTGAGCGATAGTACGCTGGCAGGTCTCTATCACCGACAGGGTGGCGACGAAGTCACTAAGGGTGAGGCCAACAGTGTGGAGTCTAAGGAAGGTGTCATGGGCAGTGGCTAGGCGGTCGGGGAAGCGCGTGGCTAGGAAGTAAAGGGTAGCTTGGAGGGGGGGAGGAAGTACAGTGAGCTGAGCCTCAGTGCTAGCACTTTAGTAACTATTCTCCAGAGCGCGCATGTGGGTTGCGAGATCAGCGACAGTGGAGAAAGAAGCTAAGTCAGGGACGAGCACGGGCAGGATAAGACGGCCAGCAGAGGCGGAGGAGGGAGTGGAATAGCAAGAAATAATGGCGTCTAGGTACTCCTTCGCCATCTCTAGGACCTGAAAGCGGGGATGCTCAAACAACGGGAGGGCGTGACTAATAGCGAGCTGCGTTGTAGCATCACGCGACTCTTAGACAGAGCGAGCGAGCTCAGCAGCTGTAAAAGCCTTACGCTCAGCGGGCGTGGCAGCGTTAGCGAGGGCAGCCGGTGCGGGGGGGCACACAGCCTACCATCAACATGGACGGCCAGAGACTGGCCATCCTGGCGCTGACCCTTCAGTTGGCGGTGCAGGTCAGCAAGCCACGCCTCGAAGTCCATGGCACGACCCTCTGCGTCCAGGCGGAGAGTGGCGTCCACCATCATGCACGGCTGCAGCATTTGTAGAACGCAGGAGGAGGAGGACCATGGAGGAGGCAGGTGTAATGGAGTGCGGTGGAGAGCGGTGGAGAGCGGTGGAGTGCAATGGAGTGTGGTGGAGTGCGGTGGAGTGCAGTAGAGGAAATGGCCGGCGAGGGCACCAACGCAGAGGAGAAACCAGGGCCGGCAACGAGCTTGGGCCGGTAGCGAGCAGGGGCCGGCGGCGAGCTGGGCCCGGTGGCGAGCAGGGGCCGGCGTGGCTAGCAGGGGCCGATGCGGCGAGTAGAGGCCAGCGCGTCGAGCTGGGGCTGGCGCGCCGAGCTGGGGCGGCACGGCGAGCTGGAACCGATGTGACTAGCTGAGGCGGTGCGGCGAGCTGGAGCCGACGCGGCGAGTTGGGTTCGATGCGGCGAGCTGGGGCTGAGACGGCAAGCTGGGGCGGCGCAGCGAGCTGAGGCTGACGCGGCAAGCTGGGGCGGCGCCCAGCTGGGGCCCTAGCCTGTATATCATTCTAGCACGAGCTGGGGTATGGCGCGTGATACCATGTTAGAATGACGAAGTGAACTCTAGCAAGAGCATACAGGGTGATATAAGGGTTTGGGTTGTACTCTGTAAGAGCACAAACCTGTCTAGCCTATAACTACACATGCACAGCAAATGCTTAAGTTGTCATTGCTGGGGCCTGGTCCAAACCCCCAGCTTGAGAACCGAAGTGCCTGCATCAGGGGCTATCTTTTCGTCTTCGCCCCTCTGATTTTCACGAGTGATCCTTCGCGTAACTCTGATTTTCTGAGTGCCTTGGAGTTGTAACTCTGATTTTCTAGGGTTTTTCCTAAATTTCACTGATTTACTCCGATTCAAGTTATCTCTTCTGCCAGCTCATTTTCTAACCACTAGATGCATACAACTAGCAAAATTCGCACCCACTGTCACTATTATTGCACTGTTACACGATACCTCCACCACCACGGCAACATCACTCATCCTCATCATCCTCAGATCCCTCTGAAGAGGCACTCTCACCATCATTTGAATCATCATCTACACTCTTAGCATGGTTATGGGGGACCCCGTACACAACAGACTTGGCTTGCTTCCGCGCCTTCTGCTTCCTCCAGATGTCCACGACTTCGGGGTAGTCGACGTCATGGTCGAGCATGTTGATGGTCATGAGATCGCCCAGCCGTGCGTCATACAAGCTAGTGCGTAGCCAAGACTTGATGACATTCTGTCTGCTAAAGCCCCTCTTGCACTCAACAGTGCTCAGTGGCAGCACTGCCATGGCCTGCCATAGCCTCATGAGGTTTGAGTAGCTCTTGGGACAGTCACGGGTCTTGAGCATGGCAGCCAACCCTTGGTTGAAATCGCCATCCGCACGGTGGTTCTTCATGATGTGACTGAACGTCTTGAGTTCCAGCTCTTCCGCCTGCTCGTTCACTCCTGCAATGATGAGGGGGAGGGGGGGGGGGAGTTAAGGGGAAGCTTAGTATGACTTACCATGCACGGTTGAAAATCGAACAAGGGACCAGCTAGCATGATGGTGAATGCAGCCATACCTGGAAGCTTGTTGTCGAAAAGGGCCACGTTCAATTCCAGCCACGCCAGATGCCGCCGCTCACGCGCCTCCGCCTTCTTAGGCCAACACTCCACCCTGAAGAGTCCCGCGCCGCCAAGGCGCTTCAGGTCCCACAGCTGCTGCTCCACGTTGGCGACCAACTCCTTCGCAATCACACTGCACAACTCCTTGCAGTTCGTCTGGCTTCCCCCGAACTGGTGGCGAGGGAGTTGGAATGAATGACTGCACGACCAG